AAGCAAAGAAGTTTCCCAAATCTCGATGCTCACTAAGAAATGGCAAGATCACAAATCTACACGCAAGGAATGAGTTGGGTTTCACATCTTCAATTCATGGAATAGAGAGTTTGAAAGGGCACAGTTTGGGACTTTATAGTCATATACTGGTATAAACTTTACTCACCAAACACCTAGAGCTTAAATGGGTGTTTCACTGACTTAATTCATTGAAAAATATTATTTTGTTTTATAAATGTCAGATCAATGGCACTGACGTTAGTGGTTAATAAGGGGTTAAGCTCACTTTTATTGACAGGGTTATTGAAGATGAATATGTGTTAATTCATGAACTTTACTGTTCAAGTATACATAAAAGCTTCATGTAGCATAAAATCTCATACATAGATTTTATGTCTGAAGTCCTGGTACTTTCATACTTAAAGTTTGTGTTATTATTTTCATATATTTATACCTGAAAGAAATATTATGTAGATGCTCTATAGAAGAGCTGGCCATTTGCTATTTAATCTAAAACAAACAAGCTGGGGAGTGATAATAAAAATGGATTTCTCAAACAAAAAGGAAAGTTGTGGGAAGGGGCTGGAGTCTGGACAGAATTGGAGAATCAAATTCAATAAGACAAAGATATTCTATTATATAATGCTTTAATCTGTGCCAGCTTGGATTACTTCTGACTCTGTTAAAAGATAAATGCTTGTAATATTCCTCCAAATTGCCATACAGTATTTATGTGCCCTGTGCCATTCAGAATATCCCTAGGTAACTCTAAAAGTGTACTAATTTCTTTTGTTGTGAGAGTGTGTCTGTACATAGTAATATTTTGTATTATATGTAAATTGACGCAGAGGAAATTAAGATTATAGAGACACAAAGTACATACCAGTTAATAAAGCCTAAGAGAAAACAGGTGAATGTGTGATACTTTTGTATATGATTAGTGAGTTAATTTCATATTACATATTTTAGAGTAAAGAATAAGGAATTTTTATACTTAAATCCTAATCCTACCACCTAATACCCATGTAGTCTTACTAGCACATCTTAATTCCTCTAAGGCTTAAAGTCTAAGCTTCAGTCATCTCACCTATTAAGTGAGATAGTAAGCGGACCTGCTTTCTACGGAGGGCTTTAAGATTAAGATTAAGCATACAAAATAAAGATCTGCCTAGAAAGCAGTCAAAACCTAAAGTTACCTGTCATTTCAATGTGACTATTAGATGCTTTTATTTTTATTTTTTATTTTTTTAATAATTACAGTTAATTCACTCACTTTGTATCCCAGCTGTAGCCACTTCCCTCATTACCTCCCAATCCAACCCTCCCTCTCTCATCTCCTCCAATGCCCCTCCCCAAGTCCACTGATAAGGGAGATCCTCCTCCCCTTCCATCTGACCCTAGCCTATCAGGTCTCATCAGGACTGACTGCATTGTCTTCCTCTGTGGCCTGGCAAGGCTACACCTTTCTCCCCTCAGGGGGAGGTGATCAAAGAGCCTGCCACTGAGTTCATGTCAGAGACAGCCCCTGTTCCAATGCTTTTTAAGTATGAATAAAATATATGATCATAAGGTAATACCATTACAGTTGTCCTTTGTGATAGAGATGTATGGTTTCTGATAGAGAACTAGTATTTAATGTGTTCTTTAGCTGTACAAATGACTGTAACTACTAAATGGGGATGTGAAATTTTTATATTTATTTATATTATAAGGATTAATAAAATATGGGGATTTTATTTTAATATGGGGATTTAAAATATGGGGATTTTAATATTAATGTTTATTAATATTAATAAAATATTAACACAATTCTTTGGGAAATGTCAACACTACAGATGATTTCAGTTTAAGGCATAACTGTATTTTAATGAAAGAACATGCCTGCATTTGACTATGCCTGTTTTAAAATTTTTATATATTGACTATTTTAGAACTTAAATAAAGAGAATATTACCGGTGATCATCAAATTTTGGATCTTATCTTTGCTATGGTGTTCCAATGGTTTCATCTTTTAGATAACTAAGTCCAAGTCACATAGAAATGTAAAACTTTACTAGTTTATGCATGCCTTAAATAGACCAGCCTAAAGGGACAGTTATGATTCCAAACTATTGAACAGCTGTTAACTTGAAAGTATTCACATTAGTTGTTCCTATGCCATCATCAAAAATAAACAACAAACATAAAAAAATAAAAGGACATACCATGGCAAGAAACTTCTAGTTTTTGAAATTGGAACCTTTCAAGTTAACAAATATATATTTGACTATTATCTAATTATTATTTTAATATTTTATTATATTTACTCCAGATGTTTTTATAATAGGTGATATATTACAAGTATACTTGTAGACTTTAAATCACTTTCTTATCCACCTAGAATATTCACTAAATTAAATTTAATATTTATACACCCTAACCTTTCCTGTGATAGTAATATAGATGTATTATGTACAAGTACATTCAGTAATTTGTACAATTATTTAACATGATTTTAAATTCATATAATGATAAGTTAACCATGTTTATGTTTCTGTAAAACTTTAAATAAAAATATTTTCAAGAATTCATCCCGTGGCTTAATATATCATGGATTGAATATTCAAGCATCTATTTATTCATTTATTAACTTTATTAGAAATAATGTTGTGATGAAGTACTTAAATACATTTGTTTCATACAAGTGGAAGACATTTTCTGAGGTAGAAGCAGAATTAGTAGAATTGAAATATACTGGGTGTATATATAATATCTTAAACTTCATTAGATATTGACAAAGTTGGAGGCAAAATATATGTAAAATATTATAATTCCCTAAGAATTATGTTTGTTAAAATCACGGTGTAAACATTTCTTACATAGTATCTACAGTTTATCTTGAATGACATATAGCAATTCCAACTTTTATTTTTTGTAATATAATTCTTTTTAAATTTTTTTAATTAATTAATTACAGTTCATTCACTTTGGATCTCAGCTGTAGCCCCCTCCATTTCCTCCCAGTCTCACCCACCCTCCCTCTTCTCCCTCTATGCCCTTTCCCTAGTTCCCTGATAGGGGAGTTCCTCCTCGCCTTCATCTGACCCTCGCCTATCAAGTCTCATCAGCGCTGGCTGCATCATCTTCCTCTGTGGACTGGCAATGCTGCAACCCCCAGAGGGAGGTGATCAGGGGGAGCTAGTCACTGAGTTCATGTCAGAGACAGCCCCTGCTCACCTTATTAGGGAATCCACTTGCAGACTGAGAAGGGATCTAGGCCCTCTCCATGCATGGTCCTTGGTTAGAGTATTGTCTCTGCAGGTCCTGGACCCAGAATTTTTGGCTTTGTTGGTCACCTTGTGGAGTTCCTGTCCCCTCCAGGTCTTTCTATCACCTTCTTCTTCCATAAGGCTTCTGGCACTCTGCCCAAAGTTTGGTTATGTGTCTCAGTATCTCCTTCCATACACTGACAAGTAGAGTCTTTCAGAGGCCCACTGTAGAAGGCCCCTGTTCTGTTCCTTGTCTTCTACTTTTAATGTCTATCCTGTTTGCCCTTCTAAGTGAGGTTTTAGCCTCTTTCCTAGGTTCCTCTTTTTTCTTTAGCTTCTTTAGGACTATAGATTTTAGTATTTTTATCCTGTATTATATGTCTAATATCCACTTATAAGTGAGTATATACCATATGTCCTATTCTTATTTTTGTACATTCAAATGGTATTGTTAGAAGTAAGAAGACACTAGAATTAGTTCATCATGTCTGAGATGGGAGGTTTGGTGAGACACAAATCCTATGGCTCAAATTTTACTACATACTATATTACAGCTTTTAAAAATCACAATGTTCAAGACTTATCCCAGAATAATTACAATGGATGCTCCTGGAGTGCGCAGGGTATGGAGTCTTGATTGTCTTTAAGGAACGGTAATTTGTTATTTTAGACAAGTATCAGGTATTTACTTCCTAGTAAATAAATAACACCTCCCAAAAATGAAATGCTCTTTAGTTAGTAAGTTGTACATTAATATGGAAAATCCATGAAAAGGAAGTTAAGGAAAGCTTTGCCTATGGGATCACCATCTGCTAATCATAGGTCACAGTCAGCTATTTCCTACACCAGACACTGCTGGCCCAGTACAGCTGTTGGTGTACTGTGAGACTTAATTTGAATAATTTGTTGTTAAATGTATAGTATATAAGCTTCTAATGACTGTTCAGAAGACATGGAAGGATTGGGGATTCATTGATATGCCCCAAGTTGCAATGAATAGAAGAAGATATTAATTAATTTCAATATTAACATAAACTAGAGGCACAAGGCATTCAAACCTGCTTCATAACTGTTGTAAATGTCATACTTTAAGGAGAATTTCACTTATCTCTTTGGGAAAGTTTTTGAAATTTCATATGCTATAAGAGCCATTTGCCTTTCTTTTCTCTTTAAGTGGAATTATTGTTTTATCTTTACTTTTTTTTCTTGAAAACAAAACAGAACAGGTTTTCATATAGCCCAAATTGGGTCCAAACTAGCTTCATAGCTGAGAAATCTGAACTCCTGCTTCCACCTTGAAGTACTAAGATCACACCCATGTGCCAAAATGACCTTCTCTTAACATCACTACGTTTTAGGGGAGAAAAGACAGTTTTGGTTTGCTGGCAGGACTTGATGTAAAACTATTAAAAAGTTCAAGAATATAATATTATACATGAAGCAAAAGATATTAATGTTACATCTAGTTAATGTAAATATCTCCCACATTCAGGAAAAAATAAAATTTATAAAGTATAGCTCAAATACCAAAAGCATACTTAATAGTGCAAGCAAAACTCCAGACATCCAATATATTTTAAAACTGCCATGGCGTGTTCAACTTAAAATTGAATTTCAAACTGGAAGACAAAGTGATTATACAGCAATAGGAGTCCAAAGATGTGGCTAATGCTGCACGTCTTTTGGTTTGACTGCCAAGCCATCAATTAAGGTAAAATATTAAAATAACTCTTTCTTCTCTTCCAATCTAGTGCTGAGTACAAAAGAAGGACTAAGTATGTCCAGAAAAGTCTTAATCCTGAATGGAACCAAACAGTAATTTATAAAAGTATTTCCATGGAGCAGGTATGTAATTATTATTACGTACATGACAGATGTAGGCTGAAATAAGTGTAGTGATGACGATATTGTGGAAGAATCGGGGCCTATAGCGAGGCAGTTCCAAACACAATACAAGTTCATTAAAGATATCTGAGAAACGTGCTCCGTGATAATGGAGGAGGGAAGTTCAGAGGTAAGGTAAAAGCAAGTGCCCATAATGTGACATGAACAAAGAACTTAGTGGGATGAGGGTTGTAGAGCATGCCAGAACTTAAAATTTTCAGGAAAACGGGTCAGATCTTACAAACTGGGAGGAAATATTTTCAACTGGCTACGTTTTGATTTTTCATAAGGAGCATCAAGAAAGAATAAGATGCATAAGATGTGTTATTTATTCTACCCAGCTATGATGTAGAAAGTCACTTCTGTAAATTGAAGCTTCCCAAGAGCAGAAAAACTAATATTTAGAAATGAAGGTGTAATGGTGATTGTTATAAAACTTTAAGGCCCATAAGAAGTGGTTCTAGACAAATTATATTAGTGTACATATGTTTTAATAAAAAAACTGAATTCTATAGCTGCCATAAATAGGGGTAGTAGCTGTTAGTTCAAAGTGCCAAATTCTGGGGAGAAACTATAAGTAAAAACAGAAAAGTCATTCATATAATATAATTTATAGAAGATTATCTTTCAAAAAGAGGTTTCTGGTTTGTTCTCTGGAAGATGGAATTAAATATGTAGTTATAAATCAAGATTAATCTGAGCACTTTAAGTTAAATTCTACAGAAGTAAAATATTTCTTCATTTTTGATAATTATTGAGACAAAAACTGTAAGTGCTGTATATTTATGACTTTCGTATAGTTAAGGATTATAGACTACTTTTGGTTAAATGAGCAGTACAGACAGAACAATATGCGTGACCAGTTTGTTCAAAAAACAATGAGGTCTCCTATAATCAAACACTAGATTAAACTACAAATTAATCATTAAAATTCTACACAACATTTAACAGACAGTCTTAAATAAAATACCAAACATTTAAATAAAGTGAAAAGTTCAAAGTGAAATCATCTATGAATATGCTGAAATGCATGTTGAAAAAAAAATGGGTTGATGACAGCTGTGTCCGAATGCAGCTCATGAAGAAGACCTTGGAGGTGACAGTTTGGGACTATGATAGATTTTCTTCTAACGACTTCCTTGGAGAGGTAAGTCTTGATTTCCCTTTTTTATACTCTCACCATATGTGACAAGTTAGAGCATGACAAAAAGTACATTTCTTGAGTTTACACAATAGCCATTCCTGAACAAAATCTTTTGACAGGTATGTTTATTTTGTGAGCTACTTTTTAAATTGGTGAAGAGAAACTTAAGAAGTATTTTTCAATCTATAAGCTGATGTGCTTTTTATTTAGCTAAGACTTGATAGTGTTTTAGTGGGAAAATATAAAATCATGATGTGATTCCAAATTATATCTGAGGCAACAAGAGAAATAAAATAAGCTGCACCTTTTAAGTACAGCTTCAGATTCTTGAATTACTCTCCCTTACTGCATGAATGAATAGTTCACATTGCTCTTTATGATTAAATATTTTATATTAAATATTAAAAATTTTCAAATGTTTTTAGAGTTAAAACTAGACGCAAGAGAAGACACTTGGGGTGATTTTTATATAAATTTGTAAGAAATCATAATATGTCTAAAATGGAATCTAAAAGAATGAACAAACTTTTCAGTGTTTTCATCAACAATGTTATAAAATTTAATAATTCCTTTAGTGTTCTTAAATTATAAAACATATATGTGTGTGTAATATATACAGATGATTTCCAGAAAATCTAAAGCTTACAAAATGTGATCTCTTCTTGATAAAAATTGTCTGTGTTACATGTGCCAACTATGTAAAGAGAGCTTCTTAGAATTTTAAGATACTGTCCCTCTCTTTCCCATAAACTCCAGACCATGGGAGCCTGGCTTTCAGATTCTTTCCTAGTTCAGCCACTGAAACTAACTTTGACTGTATGCAGAATTACTCTATGGTATAGAGTTATATTTGATTTACTGATATTTCAAAATATTGGCTTACTGGAGACCTTCTAATTTATTCTTTTTCTTATGTGAACCTAGATAGTATATCTACAGCATATATTATTTATAAAATCTATAATGCCAGTGACTGTGAAAATACAGTATTTTTGTGTGCCATTAAGAAAGGAAAATGTCAGATAAAACATGATACAATGTTTTCTCATCATCAATTTGTACTCACATCTCTATTTAAAACATTAAAGTATATTTTAACTTGACAAAGTAAGCTAGCAATTGCACATTAATTATTCTTTTCAATCTTTTATTTTGTCTATCTTGTGATTAAATTCATACATTTCTTCCAAAGTAAAAATTACGTTATAGAACAACCTAAAAAAACTTGTGTTTCATAAAAAAGTTTGACTTATGACTCTGATCTTTTCATACTACTCAAGTAAATTAGGGATATTTCAGTTCAATCATGTATTTATTAAGGATCTTGTATGCACAAAGCAGCCTCCTCAATATTGTGGCTAAGGAAAATTTAGTAAATACTTAAAGAAAACTGAAGATGGCCTCACCACTCTTAAGGCTGTGTTTAACTATCTGGTCACATCTTTAGTAAACTTTAGGTCACAAAAAAATTAATAAACTAATTGTATTTCAGCCCGTGCATTTTACTGCTTCATTGTCCTTTTCTAGGTATTGATTGATTTATCTAGCACATCTCACCTGGACAACACTCCCCGGTGGTATCCACTGAAAGAACAGACAGAGAGCATTGACCATGGCAAGTCTCACTCTAGTCAAAACAGCCAGCAGTCCCCAAAGCCCTCTGTGATCAAAAGCAGGAGCCACGGCATCTTCCCTGACCCAGCCAAGGGTAGGAAATGTTTCATGTTGAACACCATTGTTTGTCTGTTTGTTCATCAGTACCTTCCTGGAATGTGTGTGCCTCTGTGTTTAATATACATTGTAAAGGTTAGTTCTGTTGGAAAACTGAATGTGATATCAGGAAAAGGGTACTACAAATTAGGAAGGAAAGGGCTCAAAGCATATATCAGCACATATTTAGATGTTAGGTTTGCCATCTTCATTTTCTATGTAAAAATGATATTTGATGACATAAGCACTTCTATCTTAAAAATCCATAGTAGGATTTTAGAGCATTCGCTAAGCTATTTCACAAAAAGTATAAACTTCCTTCTAGTATGACATTCTTTTAAATTTTTTGAATCTCAGAATTCTCATAAAGTCTATAAATAAAATTTTACATACTGTTTATATTTATCCTGTGAAGAGCATTTTCCCATGTCATCAAAACAAATGGCAACTCTCATTCTCCAACTCTGTCCTAGATGTTGGATTTCAATCAACAATAGTGTTACACATGGGACTTGGCGATATGCACAGTATTTTATTGGAATGAGTTTTCCCTTTAGCTTTTTAACAACCATTCTACAACATGAGTAATCCTCCCCATAACTGATAAACTTACCCATCTGTACTGGATAAACTTGTGGTGATAGAATGCATTGGTTATTAGTAAATGTTAAAGACAGTTAGTGAGCACCGCTTCCTTCTGCAAGTGCTTCTGTGTAAATCAGAAAGGGGCAGACTGTGCTTCAGTGTTCTAGAGGATGAGAAGCTGAGGTCAACAATCTAATAGACCGTTGATAGTACAACTGAGAACCATTGACTGCACAGGGTGCTGGGGATGGCTTCTGAGTAAATGTTGTAGATTGGGCCTGGTGTCTCCTTAGCCATCTCAGCTTCGCCATGCTAAGCGTTCTGGAAGATGACTGACATGAAACTCTCATTCTCTCTCTCATCTCTCCATCTATACAGTCTCAGTTTCCTGAGACAATGATTCTACAGACATTATAGTCTAATGTGTTCTAATCTGCTCACCCAAAATTTCCCTGTGGTTTTATGTAAGCATGTCCCCAGTGGAGTAAATCCATTGTGTTGGTTATTTTGGAATTTCATATAATGCACCTGATCATACTCACTTCCTGGTCCTCTCAGGTCCACTCCAGCAACCCTATAAACCCCTCAAAAAATACATCAGATCCTATTTATGTTTATTTATGTATACTCATTGGAACATGGTCAAACTCTCGGCGGCTAGCTCCTTAAAGAAAACTGAGTCCTTCCCTACTACCTGCACCTCCCACCCCTGCCAGAAGCCATCAACTTGTTTCCTCTCTAGACTGTTTCTTTTGGGGGGACGTGAGGGGAGGAGAGGTTGTCACATAAGCCTGTATGTCTCTCATTCTCAACTGTCATCAATACCGCTGCAAAAGAAGCTTCCTTTCCCCATACAGTCTGCGGCAGCCTGGATCATGGATTTCCACATAGTTTCTGGGGACAGCATAGACCTCCATTGGCATGGCCTCCATTGGCAGCATGGCCTTCTGTTATCTGTGGTATCAGAGGCCATGGTTCTTGGGCCATGCTGACATTGGGAGGCCATGTTGGTGTCCGTGGCCTTGCTGCCACCAAGGACCATGATTGGTGTCTATGGTCCAAACTGTGGCTGATGATTATGCTGATGTCTCTGGTCTGTACCGGCACTGAAGAACTCAGTCTTCTTAATGAATACATCTCTTCTTCAGACTGGGCTCCATTTGCTTCCTTCCCTGAATTGTTTTCTAAATGTTTCATCACGTTACTGTATGTAAGGTTGCATAAATGACCCACAAACAGAATTAATGTAAATCTTAGACAGTTTCAAGTTTTATGTAGACTAGGCTTTGACAGCAGGTGGCTTGATGCAGAGCAACTTTAACTCATTTTTTATCCGTTTATAACCAGACATGCAGGTTCCCACCATTGAGAAATCTCACAGTAGTCCCGGTAGCTCAAAATCATCATCTGAAGGCCATCTCCGCTCTCACGGACCATCTCGCAGTCAAAGCAAAACCAGTGTCGCTCAGACCCACCTGGAAGATGCAGGGGCGGCCATAGCCGCGGCCGAAGCCGCAGTGCAACAACTCCGCATTCAACCAAGTAAAAGACGCAAATAAATTCCTCAGCATGGCAGCTTAATGTTCATCTGTTGCCTTTCTCTCCTGCTGTCTTTTCCTGTTTGCTTTCTGCTTTTTGGCATCCCCTGCTCACTCCGTTCTCTATCCCTTTGTCTGTGTAAGAATAGTATCAATACATAAATATGCTCTTCCTTCTTTCATTTTTTTTTCTTTCTTTTAATTTACATAGACTGCAATAAAACTGGCTGTTTCTCCTTTGTTTCCACCTTCCATCCAACCTGGCTCATAATATTTGGTAGCCGTGTCTGTGGAGTTTGCAGGCAAAGCAGTGTTGTGTGTCCTTTTGTGTGCACTTCCTTCTCCTCTTGAACACAGGAGCTATAGCACAGGGGACTGGCAGTTTTCTAGCATTATCCCAGCAGAAGCAAGCATGAGGATACACACACACACATGCACACACACACACACACACATATTTAAATCAGATTAGCAATGAGATACTTGAACCTGGAAACACTCAACATTTACAAAGATTCTTATGAGACCAACAGTCAAAAAAACAAAAACAAACAAACAAACAACAACAAAAAAAAAACAATGTAAAAAAGCCACCTAAAGCTGTTTTAAAATGAGATGCATGGGAAGAAGAGCATTGTCCCCGTGTGTCTCCTGAAGAAACTGTGCAGAAATTCACACTCTATGCATATATGCTTGTAGGATAAGGCAGTGTAATCTCACTAAGGGACATATCTGGTCCATTCTGTTGAATCGTACTTTGTACAGAGTGACAGAATTTACAAATTATTTTTTTTCTAATCAGTGGAATGTTTTCAAAGTCAAGAAGTGCCATGTCTATTAGTTGTCAGTTAAAGTCTAGCCATTCACTTGTCTTGATCAGCAAGTTTTCATTTGTGACATTTTCTGATATGACTCTGTAAAAAAGCTAAATGCAGCTATTTTGTGGCTACAGGCACACTGTCTCCTCCAAGAAGCATCAGCCAGGCCATGGAGGTATTTTTTTTTCCTCATCTCTCTAGTCATTCTTTCCAAGGAAACAGCCAGTTTTAATCCCCTTCAGTGCTGTGCATGTGGTATCATTTTGGCATTTGAAAACACAGTCTAAAGAGACCAAGAGCACACTTGTGTTTGCATGAGTAACATTTAAGCTGGTTCCATCTGAGGATACACTCTGGGTTTCCATCTCACCCACACTGCCACAGCACATAAAAGCGGTCAGTGTACTCATGCCAGGAAGCAGCACAGACACAGCATAGCAGGAGTCCTCCCCATTCAAAGAACTCAGTCTGATAATCTGCCTCCACCAGCCAATGGCAACCAAGACCAAAGCCAGCTAGCCCTCAGGAAGGTGATGTCCGATGGACCAGTCAAGCCAGAAGGAGGTGAGCAGAAAGGCCCCGTTCAAAGCACACAGCAAGAATGTCCCCCAAATTTAAAGCTGTCATCCTTAATTTTTTTTTTTTAGAGATTGTCTAATGGAATATGTTTATCCCTTTTTTAATGTGCTTTTGTGGGCATGGCATTTTAGGATTTCATCATCACCATGTAAGTCCCAAGATGAGTCTCACTATATATATTGACTACAGTGATTTGTATTTTTCTATGCACTGGGCGTCTTTTGACTTTTGTTGGAAAATAGTTTAACAGTATTCATATTGCAGAATGGAATGCATGCTACTAACCTAATGTGTTCAAGCATGACTATAAAATATGTTGCATTGTGATAAAAGTTTACATTGCTCACAATTCAAGTTAGCATACCAGTTGGAATGTGGATCACTCTTTTGTTGCGTATTATTTGACGTGTAACTTTTGGAAATGCTTAGAGGAAAGCAAAGGAAAAATTGTTAATGCACTCATTCACCTTGGCACAGAGGATGTTCTCTCCTGAGCCTACAAGCAGAAATCTTCTGTGCGTGTTTCCTTAGCTGTTAAGTGTATCAGCTGTGTTGGGCATGTGAATATCCAAGTGCCTGTGTAATAAATAAAGTATCTTTATTTCATTCATAAACTACTGGGTTCTGAGCCATTGTTATATGATGCAGCATCAAATGAGTGTGTTGGTTTTGCTTTTATTTTTTATCATTTGATTCCTTTCAGTGGGATATGATCATCAAAACATGCTAGTTAGAGCTGTGATAACAGAAACATTTGGGAGCATAATGGAGTCCCACACTGGAAACATACTAAGCCAGAAGGAAAATCATACTCAGAAAATTTGATACATCTAATGTATTCCACTCATACATACCAGATACGTGAGGGCAATGGTTGTTTGAGGCAAAAGAGGGGTACTCCACGGAGGGTTTCCTGAGAGTTCCGCTTGGCTAAGGAGGCAGCTAGCTTACACACGACCCTGAGTGTGTGTTTCCCAGTCCAGTTTAAAGACTGACACCAGAGTGCAATGTTCCTTTCCTTTCTTGTTTTCCTAGAATATTTGAGCATAGTTAAAACACTACTTGTTGCCCAGGCATAGTCTTTTAATTGCACATGTTTCTAATCCCAGTACTTGGAGATAGGCAGATTTTTTTGAGTTCTGGGGCACCCCGGGCTTCATAGTGAGACCCCATTCCCCAAAAACAGATGAGGAAAAAGGAAAAAAAACTACTTCCTACATTCTATTATATCAAATAAGTTAGGTTGATCTCATATTACCCACTGTCTTACTTGAGATCCTGCATAGACTTTAAATCTCATGACAATCATGTTTCTGACTCATTTCAAACCTTATTTTTTATACCTTGATTTGATTATTACCATATGTTTTTATGTATGATTTTAGTCATGGACTTGTTTTTCATACAAACAATGAAAGTTAATATGAAAATAATTTTAGTCCTTTCTCTTTGACTAATGCTCAAGTACATATTTTACATTTAAAGTGCTACAATTGAATTGATTTCACTATTGATTTCCGATCAGAAGAAATACTAAGGAACAAAATTTTTCTTATTTATTTGCCTTAATCAATGGTAAAATTTCATTTTTTAAAATATCAGTATATTATTTTCTTGTTTCTATAAGTTGTAATATAAGCTAATAAAAATTCTTAACAGCCTTTATCATAAACATACTATAGAATTAAACTTATTTAAAACTCAATGTAATTTATTTCGTCTGGAGAGTAAACTGACCAGTAATATGACTATACAGCAATACACCAAGTCCCTGTTTACTCCTCACTTTCCACAGAAGTAGTGATAAAATTTATGTGTTTGACTAAAATTTTATCATTTCCATCCTCACAATGTAGTTCATGTAAGCCCACTTGCACTCTAAAAATAATAGTCGATTTAAATAGTTCTTAACATTGTACAAAGTGTAGTGTCATCCATTTCTCATTTTATCACTTTAAGTGGATGACGAAGTCATTCCCATGTTCTATCCCGTCCTACAGGTGGATAATCAGGGGGGAGAGGGTTGGATGCTGAGCCACAGCTTGAAGTCCGCGCAGCCCCTCTAACCATTGTCTATGGCTCTGGAGTCCTGGATTCTAAACGTAACAGCCCCTTTAAAGTCAAACTGTCTTACTGTAGGTTAAAACCATTGTGGCTTGTTTATTTTTACCAGTAAACATATTAGAAATTATTAGAAGTAGCTAGAACTGGCAACCAAGAACAAATTTGACATTCTCAACCTACATGATACTATTTTCTTTTTTATTTATTTATTTTTTTCTTATCAGTTACATTTTATTAACTCTGTATCCCAGCCGTGTCCCGATCCCTCATTCCCTCCCAGTCCCTCCCTCCCTCCCTCCTCTCCACTGTGCCCCTTGCCAAGTCCACTGATAGGGGGGACCTCCTCCCCATTCATCTGATCCTGTTTTATCAGGTATCTTCAGGACTGGCTGCAAAGCTCTCCTCTGGGGCCTAACAGGACTGCTCCTCCCTTGGGGGGTGGGGAGGCCAAAGAGCCAGTCATTGAGTTCCTGTTAGAAATAGTCCTTGTTCCCCTCACTATGGGAAACCAATTGGTTACTGAGCTACCACAGGCTACATCTGAGCAGAGGTTCTAGGTTATATCCATACATGGTCCTTGGTTGCATGTCAGTCTCAGAAAAGACCCTGTGCCCAGATATATTTGGTCCTTGTGGAGCTCCTATCCTTTCCTCATCAGACTAACTCCCCTTCTTTCTTATGATTCCCTGTACTCTGCCAAAGGTTTGGTTATGAGTGTTTGTATCTGCTTTGAAAACACTGCTAGTTAGAGTCTTTCAGATGTGCTCAGTAAGGGATGATGATTTGAGGTCTTCAGCAGCAATGGAAGAAACCTTCCTACTGCACAAAACACAAAGAGGCAGGAGGCAGTGTTCTAGAGGAAGCTGTGTGTGCATCTAGAGGGGTTTCAAACAAAGGTGACAAAATTGTCCCTAAAGAGCTTTTCAAATAATAGTAATTATTAATAATAAAAGTATTATTATTTATTATAATTTATTCAATTTCTGTCCTGGATGTACCCCCTCCCTGTATCCTCCCAGCCCCTTCCTCTCTCCCCTTTCTCCCCCAATGCCCCTCCCAGTCCACTGATAGGAGAGGTCCTCCTCCCCTTCTATCTAACCCTAGCCTATCAGGTCTCATCAGGACTGGCTGCATTGTCCTCCTCTGTGGCCTGGCAAGGCTGCTCCCCCTTAGGGAGGCAGTCAAAGAGCCAGCCACTAAAATCATGTCAGAGACAGTCCCTGTTCCCTTTACTAGGGACTCCACTTGGAGACTGAGCTGCCATGGGCTACATCTGAGCAGAGGTTTTAGGTCCTCTCCATGCATGGTCCTTGGTTGAAGCATCGGCTTCTGCAGGGCCCTCTGGGCCCAGGCTTTTCAAATAGTTTATAAGCTTCTCATCAGATTTATACTTGAACTAACATAATATATGGGTCAAACAAGAATTATGGAATAAGCCAAAGGATCTTTTTTTCCTCCCTCTGAAGTTTAGTTGCTGTCAAGAAAAACTGAAGGAAAAATTAGACCAATTGCACCAAACCATCCTGATACCAATTACCTAATA